GTGCACAGTACTTCGGCAGGGCCGGCGTCGTGCGGCGTATAGAGCAGATACGTATCTCATGCCCAGAGACAGATGTGGGAAGTGTTGCTCTATTTTCTAAGCTTCACAAGCATTGTGCCATGAATGATGCGGGGCCAGTCCCACGACTAAATAAGTTACTATCCGGGATATCCTCATCTACAAAGCTACCGACCGGAGCACCGAATGAACACTATCTACCCTCACTGCACCACTACAAGATGGTTGATGTCGGCCGAAGTGTCCGTGCTACGGGGATCGACAAGGATAGCCGCCACCTCATCCTCGATGTTCTTGTAGAAGTCGGCGTCCCCTTTGGTGGGAGCCCATCCAAGGTCGCGCTTGGCGCGTACAGCTTTTGCACGCGAGTTGGTACCAAGATGAGGCTGTGTGAGCATATGGCTGGTCAGCCTCTGTGCTTTGCGAGAAAGTGTGAAGGAAAACATACTCCCAATGAACCAGATGTGCCGATCGCACCGGATGTGCCGATCCGCCTCTGTACCTCTACTTTTTTCGTATTTCGACCGCGCAAAAAGACTATGAGTGCTTCAACGTATCTCAAGTGCACTGGAATCAACGAAAAAGCGTAACTGGACGAACGTGGGAAAACGTAAATCCCATCAATGTCCGGCGATTTGGCCGTGAACAACGCGCCGACGCCCCTCTTACCCCAACCTCCCGCTCAAAATATTTGACAGAGCAGAACTAGGTGCAGACAGTAATAAGCTACCATCTGGTGAAAGAATTAGGGGAGAAGATGGGATACCGAGGAGATAGGACAGTAATGCCGATCGTCGGCAGATCTGGTTCATTGGGAGTACTCCTGGCGATCCACGCACAAGCGTTGATCGAACCGCTTCTGGACTCATGCTTCGCCACTCGTCGGGTCAGTCTAAGCAGGGATCGCGCATCGAAAACGTCATATCTTGTCTACTTTACATCTCCCGCCATCCATAATCAGTACTCGTCGTTGTAGTCTTCAGCCCTACGCCTCTCTGCCCACACAAATATCATGAACAACTCGTCTAAGATCGGCAGACATTCCTCGGAGATGTTCAGCCAAGGGTAGTGTGCCTCCTTTCCTTTCCTCATGCCACGACTACGTCCTTTGCCCTCGATGATCTTCGCTCCCGGTGTACCAGGTGGGCCCTTTAGGAGCTGCGTATGTGTAATTAGCTCAGATAGCCTCTACTAGCGTTGAGAGGAAACACACATAGCAAGGATGAGCGGTCTCAACCCATGTGTACACTTCACCATTGGAAGCCGTGAATGTACGGCTCCTACACATACATGTCAATGCAAGGCGACATGGTGATCGAGATCCCTTGTACTTCTCTGTAACGGCCTTTGTCGTCTTGATGAGATCTTTGGCCTTGACCTCCTTCCCATCATATTTGAAGATCGACTGCGACACTCGGTGCCACGCGATCTCCGCGACCGGCTTCTCCTCGAGTTTATTGAGCAAGATATCCGTATCGGATTTGTCGTCCGTATCGACGAGCTCGGTGGTGGGGTACAACGACGGGTCGCCACCGATGAAGCGCGTAATAGTGGTCGTACGGTCAGACATACTGAATGCAGACCCGTTCGTCTGGGTTCTGTACCGAGGCCTGCCGTGCTCGTCGCGGAAGACGGTGTTGAGCAAATTCGGGCGAACCCAGTGCAATTCCATGATGTGAGACTGGGACAGGATCGGTCAAGTGTCGCCTAGTATGAATGCAGCCGTTTATATGCGCGCTGGCGTGAAAAGATCCGAGCTGTTCAGTCGACACGTGTGTGTATAGCCTCGCATACACCCAGGGACCAAATATAGATGCTGTTCTATACGTCTTGGCCTTGGGACCGGTGTTGTACTGGCTTGTACGCTTATAATGTTACTATACCGGTTCATTAACGGTACGGCGATGCAGGCACCCGTCATTTGATACACAGCACACGAGTCATACATGTGAACGCCAATACATCCAAGCAGGTTGCAAGTCCCCATTGCCATCCTCGCCCATATGAGCTTTGTAGCCCTTCCTGCACAACGCCTCCCCCTTGACACCTGTCCTGCATGGCCTAAGCCGCGCTGCGCGCTGCATACGACTTCACGCGTGCTATAAGGCAAAGGTCCGCATAAGCCCAGTCTGTCTGCGCTTCGTTTCCGTATGTGGTGTGAGCTTGCTCGATCCTCGTTAGCTTGGTGACCGGAGTCACCCACACGACGTTCTTGCGGCTGATACCTTCGGCCTTCAGCGTACCCTCGCGCTTAACGACATCGCTGGCATCCCACTCTTCTTCTATATTGTCCAGATCGGCCACTTCGCCGATGAGTCCGCGCGGGTCCTGGTCTCTCCAGCCGTAGGACTCGTACAGAAGCTGCATAGCCGGGGCAAGGTCCATCCGCGCGAGCAGGTTCCACAAAAGACGATCGACGCCCTTCAGCCACTTCGAGGTTTTAGCGATATTGGTGTTGGTGGTGACCGGATACATGTGGCGCAGACCAAACACGAGAAGGCCACCGTCTGGCAGCATAGTCTCGTCTGCGAGTATGCGTGAGAGCTCATCGGAGCACCGTGTCATGATCTCGGAGAACGTTGTGGGCGTTTCGACTCTTGGGTGGGCTTCCACGGCGTAAAGGTTGTACGTGAGGGTGATGCGATGCCCATCCGTTACTGGAAGGACTTCGTGCGCGACGTCGCTGAAGAAAGCGGCAAAACCGATACGGGCATCGCCGGGTGTCAACACCTTTCCGGAGTCAAATGTGTACGCGTCGCCAGTCTCGGGGCGCAAGACAAGCTCGCCGCCACTGTGTGCAGTGGGGAAGACGAGCACAAGAGAGCCTAGCATACGCTCCCCGCGCGGCGTATCAACATGAGCCTTGAAGAATGAATCTTTGCCTGAATAGGGTGATATATGAGAGAACACGGCGCGATAAGGAAGCAAGCTCACCGTATATGTTAAGCTTATACATCTCCATCTGAATCGCCGTCTTGTTATCTTCACCCTCGAGCAGGAAGTCAGGCACTATGCGGGCGAGGTCAGTGCGCTCGGGAACGATGGGTGTAGCAAAGCGCGAGGCATCAAGCTTCCCGGCCTTGCGGTAGCTGTCATCCATGACGTCCTGGCCACCACGACCGAAGCTCGCTGGCTCGCAAGCGTTCCTGAGGGCATGAAGTTGTTCGCCCGACGCGGACAGCAGGTTGATGACACTATACAATCCATCATCAGCATCGTGGTCTGCCAATGTTCCTATAAGGAGCACGTACCGGGCTTCGCCGTTGGCGTCGGTGTAGTGTAGATGGAAGGTGGACTCCGGAAGAGGCAGTGTCCCGGCAGTGTAAGGAGGGCGTGTATCCGCGAGCTCGGTAAGAGAAGCGACAAGAGGGGCCCAATTGGTACCACCCTCGGAGGCTGAGTCTGAGTCTGGATAGTAGCCCATAGATGAGGAGAGGTTGGTGAAGCGATATGGATGCGTGAACCTGCTTTTATCTTGAAGAAATTAGTCGATGCATCGGGCAATACCCTCACAGGAGTCATTTCGCATACTGCGTTCGTGTCACCGGATACAAGTGCAGACGTAAGATAGAGGGCGTAGAATCAGCACACTTCGAAGAGGCGCATAACCGCGCCAGCGAGGCGACATTTCTGGGAGGCGGAGAGGTACTTCGCACTCATGCGAGTCAACGATTACACGGTCACATGGGAAACGCGTCTGTTAAATTCATATCCGAATCGCGTTTGATCATCTCGTTGATCATGACGTCAAGAGGAGGCGGCTGCTGAACCCGCTATCTGCTGCGAGGGATCCGTTTCACAAGCCATCGCCCACCGTACCAGCTCGCGGTGACCAAGACGAATGAACCAACGATTCCTGCGCCGATGTAGCCGGAGTTATCGTTCACGACGCCCCAGAAACGCCACCAGCGTCCCGCGAGCCCTCCTCCATCTTCAGCCTCTGCTGCATGTGTGCATGAGTCACAGTTATCGCCGATTAGACCCATAATTGTGATCAGCGAGATACTACCGAACGTTAGCGTATACTCATGGGCAACACGAATGTATGAGAAACGTACCAGAAGGCGACCACGATGCTCATAGATGTCAGGATGATACTCAAGTTAGACATGAGGTGGCGCTTGACACGAAGATCGCGATCGGTGCTCTCCTCTATTGCAACCAAGACGCCTGCAGTCTTCTCCGGGTCAGCGGCCTTTTCGCCTGGAACATCTGCGCCCGCAAGCTCATTCCTGCGCGCGATATCCTCTCGCGCGGCCTCTGTGGCAACCTCGCGTCGTGCTTCAGCTATTGCACGTGGTTCAAGCAGGCGCCAGCCGTCGCTCGGGAAGCCTGCATACGAGTAAAGCATGAGCACGCTGTCGAGGCTGTCGATGAGTGTCATTCCCGCGGTGAATAGAAGCTGAGAGTTCTTTCAGCTAGGCTCCAAAGAAGACATCTGAGTACGTACGGGCAGTATGACAATGTAGCCCGACGGGAGCGGGTTGCCATTGGCGTCTCGTTTTGCTACGGCTGAAGCCGCAAGGAGTGCAATGGATGATGCGGTATCAAAGCCTGATGTCGCAACCTAAGTCGTTTACCCTGCGCATCGTACCAGAGTGCTCACCAAGCCCGAACAGCACACCGACAGGATACATCTGGACAAGGATTGAGCAGAGTACGTAACGCATATGGATTGCGGCATACCTTCCAAGGCTTGTTCACGAAGCGGACTATAGGCCCAAGAATCTTCATGGTGATGGTGTTGGCGTGTGGTTCGTCGTCTTCGTCGATGCCTGCTCGTTCTGTTCGAGCGCTTTCTCGACGTCGGCGGAGCGTTTTATAGAGGATGATCGAGTTGGCGAGGCCAACGATGAACAAGAAAGAGGCGCTAACAGAGGCGCCTAAACCACATCAACATCATTCCAGTCTCGCAATCGAGATTACCTTACCGATGATCCCGCCGATGTCGCTGGCGGAATCCAGCTTGCCTGCGATGTCCGTGCTGATGGCGATCGCAACATTCTGAGTGCATCAGTATCATACAGAGAAAGTTGGGCACGAGAACAGACGTACTACTATGATCACAATGGTCGAATGCCCGAGGGAGAAGAATAACCCGCAAGTGACCGGTAACTGGCCTAGACTGATTAGTCCTCGCGTGGCGTTGTCGATTGCGCTGTGGGAAAACTCAGAAAGCGCTTGTTGTACATCAGTCTTACTGCTCCTTCCAACGGAGAGGGATACTCACTATCACATCACTTCATCGCTAGCTACCTGATATGGTCCGCGTCGAGTGCTAATGTTCGCTTAGCGCGCGATTGCTGTCGTAAGGATCGCGCACGCACCATGCCTCAGGCCGATCGTCTGCAAATGTGAAGTCAGCGTTGCTCATGCTTATGACTACAAGTCATACCCAGGCCAGTAATGCGAGTCCAAGTACCGGACGCGTAGCGGGATCTCGCGCAAAGATTACTCCGGCAATAGCCCACAACGCGCCGTTCACTAGGAGCTCGATAGACAGCAATAAGAGCGCGCGACCGAAGAGCGTCGGACGTGGGCGATCATGCAAAGCGCTCTTCACGCGCACGATGAGCGGCTCCATGATCGTCTAGCACGATGGCAAGAGACAGGCCGTCGATGCATTCCGCGCAGAAACGCAGATTGTCTGCCTTATCTTGAATAGGGGCGTTGAGGAACACCTATGAGGACCCATAGTCATCGACGTTCATCTGTTTTGCCGTTCTCGGTAACCGATTGATTGAGCATGGGCCATGTGATGTCAATTATGTCGAACAAAGTCAGATAAGCAGGCGCTAGCGGCTAGACCGAGGAGGTCGCGGATGTCGATATGCACGAAAAGAAGTTCCGTCCCGCGGGTCCGCTACGTCCACAAAAGTACGAAGACTTGGGTACGGCCATAGTTCTCTGGGGAAGAGAAGCTGTCAGCGATTGAGGCGGCTGATGCATGATGAGGGCAGGGAAGGAACACGGATTTTGTGGTGGTTGATGCGCGGCGCGGGAGATGCCGGCATCAAGGCGAAGTTGAACTTTCCACAGGTCGAGGGCTGCAGTGCGTCTCTGCCTCCGCGTCCACCGTTCGGCTTCTGTTGCACCCGTGTGCCCGTCTGCGTTGGCAGTTTCGCTGCGAGCAAGAGCGCCCGCTTCTCTTACGACGATACCGACGACCTGCACGATTCTGACGCCTGCACGCTTCTGAGTTCTGTGCAACGCCCGGCCCAATCAAACACCCGGTCCAACAGTACACCTGTCCCAATATTATCCCACCACACCCTCGCGTACTCTCTGGCCCTCTACGCGCGCCAAATTCTCATCCTACATTAAACATTCTTCCTCGGGCGCCAACCTGCACTAGCGATCGTCCCTGCTACATTGTACTACACTGTTACTCTTGCTCCGCGTCCGCCTGAAGGTCTGTCTGCAATGCTCTACGCCACCATTAGTCTCGAAGGCTGAATCGGTGTTTCCTCTAGTACAAAACAACCTAACCAGCCCGCCCTTGTATGATCTTAGAAGATGGCGATGTCCCCTCTCCGAATCGACACCTCCATTGCGCGCAGTCCCGGCCCTTCCTCTGCCCATTCCTACCGCTCGGGTCTAGCTCCGCCCTCCGCGACCATTCGGGTTCGTGCACCCTCTCCCGCATCTGCAACCTCCACCACTTCCTATGCGTCCCCCATACCATCATCCAACGCATCTACCAGCTCTCTGCTGATCCCCACTGACTCCGGGACCTATTCGACTCCACCGACCTCCTTGGCGTCGTACAAGTCAAGGACGCCCACTCCAGAACCGCAGGTCATGGCGGACTATGTGCTCGCTATGCACGACTTCATACCCGAGCACAACAACGCCACTTGTCTATCCTTCCGCGCCGGACAAGTCATACATGTCCTCAACCGTGACCCCTCAGGCTGGTGGGACGGCGAACTGGACGGCTCACGCGGCTGGTTCCCCAGCAACTATGTCAATGGCGAGCTGGGTTTGCTCGTCGACGACGACAACGAGTCGTCCATGCCGACGGCGGTAAGTCGCCGCTTCTAACCTTCTCTTGATCTCAACGCTAACATTTCTCAGGACCGCATCAACCACGCCCGCACTCGCTCGGGTGCCTCGGCGGCGTCTGTAGTCAGCGGCTTGCCCTCTCGGCAGGGACCATGTCCACCTGTCATGGTCCCCTTGCTGCATGCACTGTCACTACTGCAGAACGCAGTACGCTCAAACCGTGTAGCGCACTTTCAGCCTTCGGTCGCTTGCATCATCTCGTGCGTGCGCTCTATCCTCGCCGCAATAGACTGCCTCAGTCGAGACGCGCCCATACTTCGACGCTATCCCACCCTCGCGCAGGAGCGAAAGCTTGTACTCGCCGACCTCGCAGCTATCGTCACGCAGGCCAAACGCGCGGGTGTGGAGACGCGAGATGGCGACCACGACGCCACAGAAGCCGAGATCGAGCGAATGGTTCGATTAGGCGGTCAAGTCTTCTCCCGTGTACGACGGTTTCTGGCCGTGGCCGTCCAACACGGCGTGGAACTCCCCGACAAGGAGATCAGCGTCGAGTACCCGTCGTTTGCGGCAGAGGCTGTGGCAGGTCCGGCTACCCCGAGTCGCGATGAGGATGATACACTACGCGCTCCGTCTCGGCGTACAACCAATGCTGTGGCGGCCAGAACACGAATGCGTGTGCGGGATAGGCCAGGTACCCCCGGCAGGGCGAAGAGTCTAAGTGACCTCCGCGCGCCACGACTCCCATTTGCCAATTCGAACGCAGAGCCCATGCCCGCCATAGCCAGGAAGCTTGAAGGTGCTCCAGACCTATCCTCCGCCGTGCGCGCGCATATCCCTTCGCACAAGCATGAAGCGTCGACAAGTAGCACATCTTCCTCTTCGTCGCTATCATCCGTCGGCACTCCAACAACACCGCCGTTTCCGACTGGACCCTCGAGCACTGAAGAGCTCACCGAAGCATTGCGACACACGCACTCACAGTATTTATCCGCTATCGCCGCATTCATAGGGCATGCCCACGCACATACGCGCTCATCCCATGCATCCAGCACCGGGCACGCCTATTCGCTTGTCAAGGAGATTGTACAGGCGGTCTGCCGTTTGCTCACTATCGTCGATGCGGTTTTGCGCCACCCTGGAGTCCCATCACACAAAGCGGAAGGCCTGCGCTTGTCCAAGAAGGCGCTTTTCGACGTGACGACTGGCCTTACAGACGCAGTGCGAGGGCTCACAAACCCCTTGCCAGAAGGGCTTAGCGAAGAAGACGAGATGAATGCGCTCATACGTGCGGCTACAGACGCAGTCAAAGTCGGCGCGGACTGTGTAAACTCCGTGAAGATTTGTCTTGCGCGTACAGCTCCCAGCCCCGATCGCGAGAAGGCTTCAGGCGATAAGCAGTTCCTCGTTGTCGTACCGCGCGCAACGGGCGCCTCTCCTCCACTATCTCCTCGTGGTTTCTTGCACGCGCATGCACACAGTACGAGTGTGAAGGGGCAACTACTCCGATCTGCAAGTGACGACGCTCTGCATACACATATGCATCAAGAGGACGACGATATGGTACAACTCGAGCAACCCCCTCCCATTCAGATCTCCGGTGCTGAGTCTAGGGAGCAGTCCCGCGGCCCATCGCCCGTGCCGCAAACGCCAATATCCCCGACCTCGCCGACAATCCAGCGACGGTTGCCAGCTCCGCTGACCATCGACCCCATAGGTCACGGCAGAGTCCAGCCAGACATCCCGTCCCCACTCAGTAGTGCACGAACCGACGACGGAACGACATGGGAGGGAGGCATGCACGAAGAGCGCGTGCTTAACGCCGCACTGCCTTCTTTACCGTCTGTGCCCGTTCCAGCATCCGGCCCGGCTCATAGCGATGCGTGGTTGGGCGCGCATGACTACCCACTTGAGGAGGTCGCGTACAACAGCGATGGTCATCTTGTCGGCGCTTCGCTCCGCGCGCTTGTGGAGAAGCTCACCCCGCATAACAGCCTCGTCGATCAAGGCTTCCTGAACGTCTTCTTCTTAACCTTCCGACTCTTCACAACCCCCGCCGAGCTGCTCCAAGCGATCATACTGCGATACAACCTCTTACCTCCGGCGGAGATGGCGGACAGCGAGGAGCTCATGGCTGTATGGATGCAGCGCAAAGGGGTTCCTGTGCGCTTACGCGTCAGCAACCTCATCAGGAACTGGCTTGAATCCTACTGGCGACCGGAGAAGGACCACAGTGTCCTCTCGCAGCTAAACGATTTCAACCGTGATGCGCTTGCACTCATGTTCCCCGGCCCAGCTGGGCGCATTAAGGAGATGGTTCGCGTACGCGCTGCTCAAGCCGAGTCAATCGGTCGCAGTAGCGGGACTCCTGCGATGCCCACGACTCCTTCGCGCCCTAGCATGAGCAGTCACATGCCTCAGGCCGGGCTGCCGCTGAACCTCAACCCACCTGTGGTCAACTCTCCGAGCGAGATTCCACGTCCGATCATGACGAAGGCGCTGCTTTCACGTCTCAGAACGCGCGAGTATTCCAATATCGCCGTGACCGACTTCGATAGCCTTGAGCTGGCAAGACAGCTCACGCTGATGGAATGCGCCATGTACTGTGCTATCTCGCCGGACGAGCTTCTGGAAGGTAGCGGCGAAGGCAACACAAATCGCGCGGGTGTGCGGGCCATGTCAGGACTCAGCACGACGATTACTGGATGGGTCGCTGAGAGCATACTGAACGAGACGGATGCGAAACGTAGAACGGCGCTTCTCAAGTTCTTCATCAAGTTAGCGGATAGGTGTACGGCCATTCACAACTACAGCACAAGTCGCAGTATTCTCGCCGCCCTCGATAGCTCCACGATCTCACGGTTACATCAAACTTGGGCGGTAAGTCAAGGCTACACGGGCCCTGACCATTGCTTATGTGACGTCAACTTCCTAGGGTGTGCCACAGAAGCAGAAGCACCAGGTCGAGGCAATTCGCAAGCTCGCAGATCATGCCCGCAATTACCACGAGTATCGCTCACGACTACGCAACACCCCGCCACCTGCTGTGCCTTTCTTAGGGTTATATCTCACCGACCTGACCTTCTGTCGCGAGGGAAACCCCAGCACACGCGCGAGTCCACTGGCACCCGACAAGAAGCTGATCAACTTCAACAAGTATCACAAAATGGCGCGGATCGTGCAGGGTACGTTCCATTCATTTCTGGCTCGGTCCGTTGAGACGGTGAAAGCTAACACATGTACAGACATGCAGCGGTTCCAAGTCCCATATACGTTGAAGGAGATCCCAGAGATCCAGGCGTATCTCGCAGATGCCTTCGAGCGGTCAAAACACCATGGCGATCTGCAAGATCTCTACCGTCGCAGCTTGCTTGTTGAGCCTAAGCAATCAGCCGACCATCCTCCGACTACAGCGACCAGCGCTCTCTTCCCCTGGGCGTCCCGCTCGCAGACCCCTTCAGTCGCATCATAAGCACAAGGGACCACGCCTTCGACTTGCACACCCTCAGTCTTTGTATCGCTTTTCGCTCCAAGGCCGACATGCGTGTTCAGTTCAGGCGCCATCCTCGCGCGCTTCGGCGGCTCGCATCGCGAGTGCCCTTCTCTGCGCTTCGCAGTACGCGCACCCCAGGTCCTTGTGGCCTTCATTCGTTTTGCTTTCATCCGCTGTCTAGCACATGCTGTCGTCTTGTTATGTTTTCCCCGCGGTTCCCTCACATTTTACCGATCTCACTGTTTCACCTCCTTGTTTATGTTAACTCTTCGACCATGTACGACTCCCTACTGATTTTCAACGCTGACCCAGACATTCTCGCCTTCGACTAACATCGTTTCGATCTTACTCACTCGAACATTTGCCTGGACATCACCCTGTTTATCATACTCAAGATTCGGTTATCCTGCTCCCTCTCGAACCTGTACTGAGGAATTCTCTCGTATTGGCCATGCATTGCTGCGAAGATACCCAGGAATGATGACATAACGATACGTAGGATAGGCTGAAGTGACCCGGAGCGGCGGGAGGGTGTTACAATTTACAGAATAGATGGAAGGGAATCTGGCTGTGCAAGTACTTGATAAGCCCCATATCCCATCAATCATCCACATTTTCTCTGCCTAATCAGCAAGGCCCACCAGCGCCACGGGATCGTCCAATTCGTCGACGAGGTATGGGTGAGTCTCCTCCGGGTCCCATACCTCCCCATGCGAGAGGCATTCCCGCCGTGCCTCTTGTAGCTCTTCCAGCACCACAGACTTGTTCCGTATGACGCCGTTGCGCACAAAACCGATTCTGAGGCTGCGCCACAGGTCTCCGCGACGAAAGTTGGCAACGTAGGAGGGCCTGCGATCCGGATCCCCCACGTCGCAGTCGTTGACGAGCTCGAGAACGTCGACAGGCTTCCCAGCCTCGCATGCAGTGGCGCAGTAGTCCAAGATATTCCTCAAATGACTGCGGGCAAGTTCGAGATCAGCTATTTGCCTATTGAAGGCTTCTACACCTGGAATGGCCCGCCGAGCTCTCTGAGTGAGATATGAGGCGTCCAGGATGATCCGCGCTGGCACATTGCCAGCCTGAGGATGCTCGAGGCGAGATGGCAACGTCAAGAAGACACCGTCGATGGAAGAGAGCCCAAGACTGCCTGTGATGACGGAGAGACTTGGCGATCCGCGTAGCACGGTTAGGAGAGGAGCGTGACCGATATATGACAGGTGCCGCAGATCCAGGAGCGTTGCGTGTTGTACGGGTACGTAGGCAAAGATGGCGGTGAGAAGCTCGTCACATTGTCCATCGGCCTCGGCCGGCAATACGATGTGGATATGATGCGGCTGAAAGATCCATCTACCGAATAGGAAGCGGCGACATAAGGGTTCGGTGGAGGTTGCGCAGAAACTGATGTCGACCGCACGAGAACTTCCTGCGTCCATTTGAAGAGCAAGTGATGCGATAGTCGGGGTGTCCGGTAGAGCGCAATGCGATCGAAGATACGCAAGCAATGGCTGCAGTGCCGATATGTCTATCTCATCTGATGCGGAGAAAGATATCACGCATCCTCCGCTTAACTTGAGTTGGCCCAGTATCTGAACGCATGGGCCGGAAGGACCCCTGAGCGCAAGCTCAAGTAGTTCGGATAGATGAATGGCCGGAAGTGAATTTGCTGATGCCGACGCGTCTGACGGAAGAGTGATGGCCAAAGACTGCAGCCTGGGATTATGAGAGACAGCTACCAGGATGTCGTCTATCGTGCAATGGATAGGACGGAATGAATAGTCCACCTGCAGTGTACGTAGATCGTGCAGAAGATGGAAGTTGACGTGTGCTCCCGATATCTTGAGATGGCGCAGAGTCGCGAGTCGAGATATAAACGCGTCGGGGATAAAGAGTAATTCATCAAGCTGACCGTGATGTATTCCGAGACTGGTCAAGAGAGGGTAGTCGTGGGGCATCATGCTAGAGAAGAGGTCGTTGAATGCGCGGCCACGACCCTTGATAGAGAGATGAGCCAGGGAGCTGGGAATCCAATAGAAGGGCTGGTATGGCCGGAAGAACGTGTCGTGCAGTGATATGTCTGCGATGTCTAGCCATACACGCATCGGATGGCGGCCCACGCGCTCCCGCTGTAATGCAACCCGACGAACAAGAAGTTCGGGATCGTATCCTATTGGCCACACGGGGAAGGGCTCCAGAGAGACGAAACTCCAGAGCAAAGGTGTGGAGCATGCCACATCCCTCCAGCGCCGGCAGACAAGCAGCAGGCGGGTCCAGCGTAGCTCTATCAAGGTCTTGTACTCCTCGTCGAGGGCGTAGAAGAAGAAGATCTTTTCGAGAACTTCACGGGGTAGAGCGTGTACCGGTGGGCCGAAGAGATTGCGATACTCTTGGATGAGCCGAAAGCGCTCCTCCCTCCGCCTGAGCTCCGAGTCGAGAAGTCGCAGGAGTGTCGGTCTATCAGACTCGTAGGTTATAGCGCCAATGAGATCCGGCAGAGGTCTGGGATGCAAAGAAGACTATTCGTCAGTATCGAGTGACTATAGCATGCATATGAAGGCAGGAGCGTGATAGGGGCTCGATGCTCACCTGTCATGCAACAGTTGTTTCAGCTGTCTGAGATCCATGTGAAGCTACTGGGTCGCCGTTGAGGGTAGTCGTCGGAGTATGCAAGAAGCTCACGAATGTTGCCAGGGTCGAAGAGAAGGGAACGATATGGATGTTCTGGACAAGTTGGTTTGGGTCGGGCCGATCTGTTTATGGCGTGAGACAGGTGCCACGGCGCTTGACAAGCGTCGACGGCTCTTGTCCTCTGCCGCCATCTTCGGTTTGCGCTAGCCATGCAGCTTGCCACTTGTTACTCAAGCGCTATTGAGGCGCTCCGAAGAAAGTGCAACGCCACACGTCCATTACTAGATAGTCCCATGATCGAACTTTTCCAAGCATTTTGAACTTGAGTTCGCGAAGCTGTCTGCACAAGGACCATGGTCTCCCACAGTCGTGGCTACTTTCCTGTGTCAACTTCCTCCAGACGTACCTGTGCGACAAATAAATGTACTCTGGGTCTAGTTGATGTTCGGACTTCGATGCTCTCCTGCTTCAGATTCTGCATCCCGTCTATTCTTCGCACAAATACAAGCACGGGAACGACCAGCTGACTCTACGATGACCTCTCTATATGCCCGTCTGCAGTACTATAAGGTCTCATCAGACGAAATCATGACGAAGAGACTGTACTTCTCTGTACTTCTGACACCCAGAAGGACTGACAGTATGAGGATCGTCACCCTTTCAACCATCTTAACCGGTGCTCTTGCGTTTGGCCTCGTGGCAGCTCAAACGCCGGACCCCTCAAATGGACATTGGGTCGATACTTGGACCGCGACGCCGCAACTTACAGAAGCAAGTGGTCTTCCTCCGCCTCCCTTTGTAAGTGAGACGGAAGCACCACATACACCGTCGACTGAAGAATCACGCAGAATACATCAGCAAACATATTCGAAAACGCTACTCTTCGACAGACTCTGCACCTGTCTCTCGGTGGTCCGTTCATACGTCTGCGCTTCACCAACGTCTTTGGCACCACGAACCTCCCCGTATCTGCCGTCACTGTTGCACTCCCGGCAAACGGCTCTTCAGGCGTGAGCGGCATCCAGCCGGAGACGCTGCAAAATGTGACGTTCAGCGGCGCGACTTCGTTCAGCATCCCAAACGGTGCCCTCCTGGTATCAGATCCTATCAACATGCCACTCGAGCCGAGGAGTGTGATTAGTGTTAGCATGTTCTTGGAAAGCGGACAGCAAGGCTTGGACATCACATCCCACCCTCTTAGTATGACGACGAGCTTCTTCGTCAACGGCAATGCTGTGGAGGATACGGACTTTGAAGGAGCAGAGAGTGCAGAACACTGGTACGAGATAGGGTTCGATCGACGCTTGACTGCATGCTGACCTGGTCAATGCAGGTACTTCGTCAGCGCAGTAGAGGCTTGGGCGCCCAGAGAGTCGGTCACCTTCGCCGTTCTTGGTGATAGCATCACCGACGGCAGAGGGAGTGATGTCGACGGAAACGATCGGTACGTCTGAGCGCTCATCTCGCTGCCTACCCTATCTGACCCGAATCTCCGTCGATAGGTGGCCCGATCAGCTGTTCATACGCATGCAGAACAACACCAACACCTCCCACATCGCGCTCATCGACCAAGGCCTCGACGGCAATCGCATACTGGCAGACGGACTCGGACCGAACGCCTTGGGACGTCTCGATCGTGACATCCTCTCTCATTCGGCCGTCAAATTCGCCATGATCTTCGAGGGCGTAAACGATATCGGCACCTCAAATACCGACTCCGCGTCTCAAGCCGCGCTGATCGACGAGCTCTTGGTTGCGTACCAGCAGATCATCAGCCGCGTTCACGCGCTTGGTATCCCTATGTTCGCTGCGACTATCACACCGTTCGGCAACTTCGCTCAGTATACGGACCCAGCGCGAGAGGCTACGCGTCAAGTCATCAACAAGTGGATCAGGACGAGCGGCAAGTTCGATGCCGTCATCGATTTTGACGCCGTGGCGAGGGATCCGAATAATGCCACGGTTCTCGCGCCGGAGTTCGATTCTGGCGATGGCCTGCATCTCAACTCGGTCGGGTACCATGCACTGGCCAATGCTATACCGCTGGAGATCTTCGACCAGTTTGCTGACGGTGTCAGCGGCTTCGAGTAAGAAATAAAACGGCAGTTTCCACTTGTACCATGTTTTGCACCGTGACCAACATATTTCAAACCATGAAATTGGATTTCAATACATGGCATTGTGGATATGTTTATTTCAGAAGTTGGTATACATGACTTTACACCTAATGGAGAGAGGTAGCCTGTGGTATCATCCAGCTCAAGCGCTCAAGCTTTGAAGCTGAAAGGGAAACCCGTCGAGCCCGTCGTGGCGTTACCGACAGACACAACGCTGCCGGGCACACCGGGGGCGACGTTGAGGCCGAAGGGAAGAGCGCCAGTCACCGGGAGGTTGTTGGACAGCTGTACATCGAACTGCGGCTCACGCTTCGACCCGAATGGGAAGCCAGTGGAGCCGGTGGTCGCGTTACCGACAGAGACGACGGAGCCGGGTACGCCGGGCGCGACGCTGAGGCCGAAGGGAAGCGCACCAGTCACCGGGAGGTTGTTGGACAGCTGGACGTCGAACTGAGGCTCACGTTTAGAGCCGAAGGGAAATCCGGTCGAGCCAGTAGTGACATTTCCAACCGAGACGACGCTGCCAGGGACACCAGGCGCGACGTTAAGGCCGAAGGGGAGTCCGCCAGCGACGGGCAAGTTGTTGGGGAGTTGGACTTCGAACTGAGGCTCGCGCTTCGAGCCGAATGGGAACCCAGTAGAGCCCGTCGTGGCGTTGCCTACGGAGACGACGCTGCCAGGAACGCCAGGCGCGACGTTGAGGCCGAATGGAAGCGCTCCAGCGACGGGGAGGTTGTTCGAAAGCTGGACATCGAACTGGGGCTCGCGCTTGGAGCCAAACGGGAAACCCGTAAAGCCTGTGGTAGCGTTGCCAACACTGACAACGCTTCCGGGCGTACCGGGGGCGACGTTCAGGCCGAAGGGAAGAGGGCCGGTGACCGGAAGACTGTTCGAAAGCTGCACGTCGAACTGCGGGTCACGCTTCAGCCTGTAATCGGGTAAGTCAGCGCATACTCGAACGGGGGAAGATATCAACGCACAGGGTAGGGCCAGCCTGAACAGCGCCAACGGCGACGAGGACGTAGGTGTAGAGCTGGGATGCGAACATGGCGATTATGCGGGTAAGATAGGTTGGCTAGTGGGTTGAAGAGTGGTAGAGTTAATTGTGATGAAAATATGGTGTAGTACTGCTGCTTATATATCCTGCGTGAGCATTCAGGAGTATGCGTGGTTCGGATACTGCACAGGGACGTTTCGGAAGTGCGAACTCTCCAACATGCCTCAGGAGCTCAGTGGTCAGCGAGCCGACACATTGTGCCTCCTATGCAATACATCGACCAGAGCGAGGAGAAGTCCAATGGGATAGGTTCCCTCTATCTTATCTTCCTGGTCATCGTCGTCGGACCATGCAGAGTTTGGCATTGTACACGGAACAGGAACATGAAGGTAGGTCGCAACCCTCGCGTCGCCTGATTATAATGCGGATAATCATGTCGAGCGTCTAATCAATTTCGAAATGATCTCACGAGGCAGTGATTATCCCTATAGTAATTATGAACACATTCAAGTAGTACAAGTACACATCAACCTGGCTCTACTATCCAGTCCATGAGTTCATTTGAGCCCCTTCTCATGTCCATAGATCGTGACGGGATATCCCACTCTCCCCGACTTTTTCTTCCCAGCTGGTAATTGGAAAGGAGGGTATGTTCCTTTGTTTACACCTGGTCCGAAGTCGAGCGCAAATACCCGACCCTGTGTGGCTCCGAACAACCTGCCATCCTCCAGCACAAGCGAGTACACCGGCGATGGGTCGTTGCCTGGTGCGTGTACGCTGAAACCGGGCGATCGCGGTGAGCGAGCGTCCCAAAGTGCGACAACACTGTGCCGCGCTGCACCTGCCGCAATATGCGTGCCTGCACCCGCGACGGAGTATACAGGCTCAAATTGCCAGGGATCGCAAAACGAGAGTGCGGGACGCGGAGAAGGCTCGCGTAGGTCATGCACGTGCACGAAGCCGTCGTACCACCCTGACAGTAGTGTACTCTCGGGTGAGCCCCAAGGTGCATCGGGCGGCGCAGCCGCTAACCCGTACACCGCTGTGCGAGAGGGCATGAAGTCATCGCGAGCGAGGGAGAAGGGTACGCTGATCGGTGATTCGGATATTCCAGTGGGCGTTAATGCGTGCACGACAAGTGGTGTGAGCGATGCAGTGCCAAAGGCCGCGAAGTTGTCGTATGGCGATAAGAGTGCATTCCAGCCTCGGGCGACATTTAGGCTCGTGGTCTCGGGGGATGACCAGGTCGAGAGGTCGAAGAAAGCCACGGTTCCGGTTGATGTGAAAGACACGAGCTGGCCATCAGCGTAAGATAGGGAGACCACCAGCTCTCCGGGGTGCTGGTAGAAGCGCGCTCGATTGGGCTCTGCCCGTGACATTGGGATCTCGATGGGGCCGTCGACTGCCACGTCCGCATACGATTCGGGCAGGCGTATGTAATCTACGCCTCCGTTGCTGAAACCGACAACCACGGCTCTATCTTCACCGCCGTCTGGAACGAACGCGAGATAGTCTGCATCAAATTTGGAGAGCTTGGCTTGTAAGATCCGGCTTTCCCAAAAAGGAGCGGTTAGCTGACACATCTCGCGTGCATCATGAGCCAGCGTCAGCGCTGAGCGCGTCAGCGAAATCGGAAGATGTCACAGGCGGGAACACTCAAGTTGGTGTGGTAGCGCAATCCGGCATCCCGTTACAATTTCTACTACGTTTGCACCCTTCTGGCTGATGGCATGCTCTCTAGTCCACTTTCACCTCAGTGTGTGATACAGCTTGTGCTATGGAGGGACGATGGGGGAGGGAGAAAAAACGCGCCCGACGAGGTTCGGGTGAATCCTGGTCACGTTCGGTTCGCCACAGGCTTCCTTGCGTGATGAGCATGACGCTCGCTGGCTGATTTGCGTCATCGCTTTTCCATTCTGGGATGGGCTCGAGCTTACAAGCCAAGGTCTCCAAATTTGAGGCAGACCATGCATCGGAACGACTGTCTTCCGTGCATGGTCTGCATCTGGAGACTAAACGCGAGAGCTGTCGCGTCTCCATCCACTGCGCCTAATGCACAGATAAACTCGGGGCGCACATGAGGCGCGTGACCTTCAGCGGCTTGAGGCGCGAAGGAGTACGAGTACAGATGGTGACCTGCGGCAACCACAAGCCGGGATGGACTGCTGGCGACCACAGGCTGCAGCTTGCCTCGCCAAGGGCGTGCAAGGGGAAAGGCACGCGGAGAGCGTCGCGCCCAAGCCTGATCGGTTCGAGCATGGTATTGAACCTGGGCAAGCGCACTCCACGAAGCCATGGCGCGTGCCGTTCCTCCAGCTTGGCGGGGTCGGCGATCAAGGTGGCCTCGCCAGCCGTATCCCTTCACCTATGCCAGGGTTCAATTCAATATGATAATCAATGCAGCAGAAAGATCCCCATACCAAGCCATTCAGAGCTTTACAAGTTTCCGAAAGGGAGATATTCTCCTCTACATCCAGTTCGTCGAGGATAATAGCCAAGATCTCTACGGGCAACTCTAAGAGCTGTATCATGGTCGGGGCCTTACGAGCAGGCGTCGTTTCGTGTGCCAAGTCGGTAGAAGAGCTGAGGTCGAAGGTGAAAGTATGCTGAGAGCATATCGTCAAAGTTGGAGTCAGAGAGGCGGAGCATGCTGCCATTCGGGACGTCGGTGCGGGCCCGGCGATATATTACGCAATATCGCACGGCCGTGATCATTCTGCTCCCACAACCGCTCCTTGATGCCAAACTACCATGGCCACAGATTCCCCGGGATCTGGCACCCTCACCAATAAACTGCTGCCACTTCCCCATGTCAATAAAGTTGAAGGAAGTGTCGAAGATAACATATCATGCGCGATATTCTGCAGTACGCGTAGGAGCACGAAGCGGCTTGCGAAACGCGCCATATGGAACGGCCGTGATGATGCGTGTCAGCAGTGCGTCGCGTATAAGTTGCGCTCATAGTAGAGTACTCCGTCGTCGACGGCGATACTAAGGAATCCTGCCCGCCAGAGCCGAAGGTACGCCTCCCTCGCCTCAAAGAATACGGGTGTGCTGATATATGAATAGACCACCTTATAGCAGCGCGTTTAGCATACTCGGCAGCCTTGGGAATCGTGCCAGCTAGCGCTACGCACTACCCATCCTATCATGAGGCGGGTCAATGACAAGCTGATCACGGCAATACACGGCTTCGCGTACGGTCTGAGTGCCCTTCCCAGCCAACGCGCGCAGCTCGAGCGATCCGGTTCTATCCCGTTTCATAGCACTGTATGGACGCCGCAGATCTAGAGTTTTGCTTACTCCTTTTGCGGAATCATCAACGCCGGCCTTCGAATAGCCTTCTCGGTACCGAGGCCAGCCACCACCGTAGGGATAAGCGCAATTCAACATCCCAGCCAATCTCTCACAGGTGTCAAGTGAACCTGGTCGCTCTATTGCCTGTACCTGTTTCGAAGTGAGCGAATGGCATTACAAAAGCCAACACATGCTCCGCACGCCGACGACGCGGCCCCTTCCAGGACCATAGCAGTCGACATCCTATGCCTTCACTTCAGAAACTGACCCCTTCCGTCTACTTTTTTCGCCCGGCAGATGACGCGTTAACGCACCCTACGGACTCTCCCTCGTAAGCGGCTCTCTTCCGTACAACGAGTCTATGCTCACTGATACATACCACAAGACTGATCATGATGTTCAGCTGGAGTAAGCCTGTCTCGGGCTCATGAACGACTTCCTGAACTCAATATCGCCGATTAGTGGACGCACAACTGCGACACGAGCAGAAGTTCGTCGATGCTTTGCACCAACTTTACCCAACCGCAACCATCGTGCTCATCAAGTCCGCGTTGAGCACTGCGTTTGCGACGCAGGCAAATCTGGTGAATCTGATCCCAATTATCACGTAGTACAACTGACTAACACCGCCTCGTAGGAACATGTCCTCGAGCCTGTTGTCGAGATCCTTCTTTCTCGACATTGGGATGGGATCTTGATGCACATGTTCTCGAACGGTGCGGAACCCCCATCGCTCTTCATTTGAGCGACCAGTGGCTGATACGCTTCTCAAAGGGGGAGGATTCATGTTCATGGCGTTGCACAAAGCGCTGGCAAAGCGACACAAACCCGACTCTGAGACTGCACACCGTGGACCCCGTGTTGTTTGCGTTCTCGACTCGCTGCCGGGGGATCACGGACTCGACTCGTTGCTCCTTGTCGCCGGACCTAAGAACCCGCTGCTATACGCCCTTTCGGTACCCATTTTCGCGGCCGCGTGTGGCGCTCTAGCGCTCGGGGACACACTCCGTGGCAATGGTCCCATGTTTACCGAGTTTCGCCGCATATTGCTCACGTCCGACCCACTTCCGACTATCACCGAGACATCAAGGACTCAGCCACCACGTCTCTACATATATTCGATCAAAGATCGCACAATCCGCTCTCAGAACATCGAGCGCCATATTGAGGAGGCAAAGAGGTTGGGCATCGTGGTCGATGTCGAGAGATACGAAGATTCGCCCCATGTTGGACACATGCGCTGCGACGAGAAACGGTACTGGAACGCTGTGAAGGGTGCATGGGCCCGTGCAAAGCTGTAGCCTGTGATCGCTCTCCAGTAGTTATGTCGGCTCGCATACGCGCTCGTTTCAATGTAATGACTAGATAACCCGTTCGGCTCAGGCGGGTCGGGACTACCACTGCATAGGGAAGAAAGCCTTCAAATGCTCAATAAATTACGTTACTCTGAGTCTTTCATTCTTATCGTTCAAGCCCACCCTCAGACGAGGATGTCAGTTGGCTTATGCATCCCCGGAATAGTCCCGTCGTGTGAGAGGTGAGGAGACTGAAGCTTGATGAATGGTGTCGGAGGTGTTGCTAGAATGGACGTGTCGTCGTGCGACGTCCCATGCGAAGACTTCGTGGCAGTAGGATCTCCGGTGTATGGGCCGTGAGCCGCCTGGAAAGTAGACACAACTGCGGGCTCCATTCGCTCGCTCATGTCCCGTAGATGATCGCGATTATTGAGGCTGGTGGGAGATGACTCAGCTCGAATCACTCACGGCGGCGAGATTCTTCTGGAGACTCACGAGCACAGAAGAGAGCATGAGTACACTGAAGTTCTTGTATGAGCAGCTAGTCCACTAGGCTACATCTGATACACGGCACTCACATCGAATGAGAAGGAAGTAAAAGGGTGTGTATACCAGCGTGTCCGGCTTAGTGATCCACTGCAAAACAGGAATGAACTTCAGTGCTAAGGACGACACTGTCCGGGAGATCGACTCACAATGGCAAGGCATGGCACCGTGCAGAGCCTTCACCGTGTCTCATCAGTCATACTTAATGACTTATACTCGACAATACAACGGCGTACGCTTCAAGTAGACCTATCAATGACGACAATTTAGTTGTTAAATACCGCACTGAGGTCATAGGAATCTCACAGGTGTTGATTGTATATTTGATCAGAAGGTGGATGATTCGGTTGGTGCTGATGACATCGTCCCATAAGTCCGCGGATCCGCCTCGTTCAGGGATGCGATACTCACGTCGGCACGGTAGAGCGGTTGGTGTAGAGATAGTATATCATGGCAGCGGCTATAGCACAATCGCACAGCAGATCGCATGCCAAAGCGCTCAGAGTCAAGGGCTGAGAAATCATCGTCGTCTTCCCTTCTAGAGGTTGACAGGCAATCGACTTACGAGCGCTGTAGCTGCGTTGCTGAATACCTTGAGGGAGAAGCTGGGGAGGGTGGATTGAGTGCAAAAACCGACCGCGTGCGAGCTTTACGCACCCCTTGATAGCATACACTAGGGAATGAAAAAGGGTGAGTATTGTTCGGATCGGATATTCTCAAGTGGTGACCATACTTGTACCCAGTACTGTGTTGCAGATGAACAACAAGATCGTTACCGCCAGAAACTTGGCGCACCTGCTTGTGCGACTGATACACAGACCTAAACCGCATCATCAAACCCGAAACGTGTACCAGACGGGATACAACTCACGATCAGAAGTGGGATAGCTGGCCGTCTCTTTCCAACTGAGAGTGATATTGAGCGCATGGATGGATAGTGACATGCGATGGGAGACATACGGAGATAAACGCGGTATGCAAAGAAGCTATGGAAGTAGACTTGAGTAGATTGATCCTCCGAGCGTAGGGCCGCATACCTTTGCACTAATGAGGTCAAAAATGCCTGGGAGATGATAAGAGGTGTGGGAGTGGCCAGAGGTGACGGTTGTACTTACACCGATGATGACCTGAATCTACAGTCGAGAATGAGGGTCAGTGGGCTGAGCTCGGTGACTGTCATAACGAACCAGGAGGCTCCTATATGTAGAGTTCAGATTTGTATCAAGCGTGTCTCATCACTGTAGAGCATACCAAGTCCCGTCAAGCGCCTCATAGTCACCGAAGTTTGTCACCAGGTAATGATAGAGAAGAACCGTCAGCAGCGCAACGTGAAGCGAGTCCAGTATCCTTATTGAGAGCCGATTAGCTGGACCACCATGAGCGCATGCCAAGTCGTACCAGATGACGATGACCTTCAGTACGCTATGAGGCCATGCCGTATATAGTGAAGAACGAGACGCACGAGCCCTTTCATAAACCAACCATCCTGCTTGCTGTGCTCCGTGAAGTAGAGGAAGACTTGCATGCACGTGATGCCATATACACTATCGGTAGAGTCTAAGTGTCATGCTGATGCGAGCGAAGGATCCTGACGACTTACATTATAGAGAGAACGACACCGACCAGCAATGCCCCGAGAAGATTGTCCAGTGGGATGAGAGATGGCATGTCAGTAGTGGTACAAACAGAAGGTACGTCTGTGAGAGACACCGGCGATAAGCTGGTGCTATAAGAGAGACAGGAATAAGTGACGTCGGTATAGTGCGAACATCAACCCTATACGCCAAGTGAGTACACGCACGTATTCAAATGTCCAGACGCGGGGAGGCTGATGGATGCGGGGAAGATGGCGGCTGAGGCGCGGCGTACCAGCTGACTGCGCACGCGACCGCCAGTGGCTGGACTGATGGGTAAAGTACCCCCTAGGTGACTACCGCCTTTGTCTCGTCTGCAGCTATGGACATGGATGTGCCACCAGGGTGTACGATGCCTCGGCTGTAAACATTCAGCACCATGATACAGAAAGCCCCTCGTCCCAGGCTAAGAAAGGCAGGCCGTTAGGCTATTGCTCCAGAGCAGATAGTCGAATACCCATCCGCGCCACAGGAAGGTTAGCTGCAAGGCACTGACATGTACGCCGTCGGCCGTCCGTCTCAGAAACAACACATCAAAGATGTTTACGCCGAGGGACTCGGAGGTTCCTGAAGGAGATGTCATGATAACACCGAGGAGACATAGCATATCAAGCCCCGTACGGTTAGCGCTGAGAGAGCATTGTTCAATGGTACGTTCCACTTCACTGAGGCGTTCTTCGAGTGCTCACGCGAGGTACGTCAAGGAACTCTAAGCACACACAGGCCACCATTCCTGTCCTGTACGGCCCATGCAGGTGCGTGCGAGCAGCTAATGATAGGTATCGAATGGGAGACACTGTGTTCATCGGGGCTTGCATTGAGTGAAGTGGCGATCTGAAGAATCGCACATGGCAGCAGGAACAACACCGTCCTCGTTGACCCCGCGCCGACGCGACCGCTGGCTTTCCCACAACCTTCCTCCCAACCACCGAACTGGGCCATCGAGTCCTCCTCCAGGCTCCGACATCCTCACGTCAAAGATGCTGCCCAACCATCGGTTCGCCGTTGACGGTGTTCAATAATAGCACACTCTGAAACCGCAGAAGTGAGGACTTCTGGTTGGAGTACGACGAACCCGCATAACTCCGCAATTGCCTGGCATCACCATAAAGGATGCGCTACAGTACTACACACGACCCGCGCTACTGGACGCCGACTACGTGTGTACCGGAATAATGGGTTGGAATGGTGGCAGTCGCTCTGTAGGCTGGAGAGGAGAGAACGCGGGGCACGATACCGGCACGTCCGGCCCGGACAATTTCGGCAATCTCTCTTCCGACCACCGGGTAACTTACATACGCGGGGACTACGGTTTTAATTCGGTCGGGTGCACTCGCATATCCGGCATGACCCATCAGGATAACATACTATCGATGAGTGACTTTGAGATCGCGGGTGCCAGCAACTTTCATAGTACTGTACTAGAGACTGTACTGGAGTCCTAATAAGCGAATGATTCTTGTACTTTCCGCACGTCTACGACCACATCATGCAATGCGGAAGGCGAGTGCACTCTGAAAGGCACAGGCGCTGCCTCCGATACGGATTCGTCGCTGCGCGAGGCGTCAGGGGAGGACTTGGGCGTAGTACGTCCATCACGATGTGGGGTGCTAGCCGCTTGGAAAGCGGACATCGTGAATTCTGCAACCCGGGACGGCCACCACCCCTCTTTTTCCCACGCCCTACCCGTATCCTACCCTCCCCCAAAATATTACACCAGACTATACGTATAACAAACCGCTCGCGCAGTAAGTACGGTAGGAACCGCACTAGTCCCTCGCCCAGAATCAAACACGAGTCCCCGCGCTCCCGTCTCAAGGCCCCCAAGCCAGCCCTCCCCCGGGCCACGCACACCAGCGTCATTCTACCCTAAGCCGCCGCAAGGCCGCAATAATAGTTCTCCAATCCCGCCGTCACCACCACGAGTACTCGCTCTGGTGCCAACATGCTCCGGCCACCCGTATCCCACAAGCTCCTACCGTCTACCAGCGACATAGCCCCACCCAACTCCCCACCCAACTCCCCGCCCAAACCAATCCCACCTGCCTCCCCTCCTACCACTACCCTACTTCCTCCTGCCCGCCCTCTGCGTACGACACCCACGAAACCCAACCTGACCACGTGACCATGCCCCCGGCCCTCGGCCCGGTTCCCTAATCGCACGAAGAATATGCCCCCTCCCTCCCCCTGCACGTACTGTACCAACTTGCACAATAATAGAACCACCTGACTGCTCTACACCCTGCCAAGACCCGATCGCGAGCCCCAAACGTAAAGCACGCACATGCTCCGAACGTCCAGAAGACTGCGCCCTAACGCCACCCATATAATCAAGACTCTCCCATGCCAAAACGTCAAGATTTCATTCAAAATATCCCCAACATTCCCTTTCCCAACCAGCAAAACTAATCTACCCCACTCCTGGCATGACAGCCAGCCCTGCACGTGCACCCGCACATCCCTGCCTATAAATCGAGCCCCACCAGACCGTCTATAGCCAGCAACATGTCGCTCAGCACTCTCCAACCCCTACCTCCCCCTCTCTCCCAAGCCTGCCTCGTACGCTGTGACCATCCTCTCCCATTCTGGGACTGCCTAGCGCGCATCATCGCCCGCTGCCTCCACCGTCGCTTCCCAAACGCGCCTGAAGACGTCCTCCTCCTCACCGCCCTACTCGCCCTCTCTCTCGGCTGGGACATTCCCCACACCCCGAGCAACATCGTCCTCCCAGGTGCCCGCCTCGTACGCGCCTTCGCTCCTGATCTTGAGCTGCAAGCCACAGTAATCCGCCCCCTCGCCCACGATGGGACCACCGCCATCTTCGCCTGCGCCCTCACCAGCGTAGTCTGCGGCCCCTCTACCATCCACATACCACCGCGCATGCTCCTCCTTAAAACATTCCACCCAGCGCACGCCAAGTTCGCGGGATGCGACCCTGAATGCGACTGCTCTGTGCGCTGTGCGGGCATCGACCGACAAATCCTGGCGGCTGCTAGACACCAACTCACTGACTGCCCGGCGCCCTTATCTCTCACGACCGCCCGGCTCCTCCCGCTCATCGACGCCGCGCTGAACTGTGGCCGCGCACCCAGCCAATTTGTCTGCGCCTTCTCCCAACTACCCGGGACGCGCTTCCTTGGCTTCCCCAGCATCACAACGCGCGACCCACCGCCGCCGCTGCTGGCGACAATCATCGGTCAGTACGCGCCTTAGCCATCCCCACAATTCTCGCCTCACCGAATACCTTAGAAAACCCCCTATGCGCGTTCCCGCCCGGTCACCTCGAGTGCCGATGCCCGCCAACTGCGATAGGAGCGTGCGAGGCCTTAGACGACGATTACTTCGGTATCGTTGATGACGCCGAAGGGGAGGTGCTCGAGCCTGATATTGAATGGACCTTTGTTTAAATAGTATACATGTGCCCCGGCTTATCTTGTCCCCTTAATACATCCGGCGCTTGGCCGCTAACGCTGCTATCTAATCTCCCCGTTCAATCGGTCCGACCATCAACCGACTTCGCCTTGCCGGCCCGCGCCCGACCTCCCTTCCTCTCTCGTCCTGCTCTCCCACCATCACCACCCTCCCCTCGCAAATGCCCACGCCGCAAAGACGTAACCCGCACATCCCTATAAAAGTCTACGCCGCACTACGGCGAACAGACAGACGCGACCCGTCCCAAACGCTCACCTCGCAATCCACCACCCGTAAGTCCACCCCCGCCTACCCATATGCGCCACCCAGCTCACACAACCGACCAACCCACCAAGACCACCCACCCACCTATCATGCCCATCGAACCCGGCGCAGCCGCCTTCAGGTTCCACAAGTCGAACGTGGCGGGGTTCTTTGTTTTCTACTACGGAGTCCTCGCTCACCCCGACATCGACCGTAACGCGGCCAACCTCCAAGTCCACACCAACCCCATCACTAGCGAGCTCATCCTCGCCGAAGCCGAAATCATTCGCGCCAACGTCAAGGACCTCTACCTCGAGGCCTACTGTCGCAACCTCCCGGAGTGCCGCCGAGGCGGCGTCACCGACACCGTGGTCGACTCTACCGCCGCCTTCCTGGAATCCGACCTCGGCCCCATCCTCTATTCCCGAAACCTCTTCGTTTTCGGCCCTACCGAGGAAGTTCGCTCGCGGCGCCTCACGGTCGCCCGCGCCACCGTCGAGCGCGATTCGGAGAAGGACGCCCAGCTTAACGCCCTCGTCGAAATCCTCCGTCTCGGCCGCGAGAACCCCAGCTGCCCTGGTATCTCGCACATCACGTTCTACGACCCGAACCAGTAGTACCTTCCCCTGCCTGTATACGCCTACTCGCCCTGTACCGCCCGAAATGTCGCTTCCGTTCTATGTAGCCTGATGCCTATACTATGCCACTGCACGCCGTAACCGAGCACGACGCCGCAAAGCCCGTCTAAGCAATCCCAATGCTAAACCCCGCCGGCAATCTCCTGACAAGCACTATAATCTTATCGCGCCACTCCACGCCTCTTGATCGCCCTAAATTGTCTCAACGTCCCCACGCCCTCGCTTCCCCGCACCGAACCTCCTTGCCCCGCCCTCCCACCAACGTCCGCAACCTGCCGCGCCGCAA